CCCCGTCTGCCCACGGCCTGGGTGTGGATGCCCAGAGACCGTGCGGCACCTGCTCTGGGAGTGCGGCGCTGCGCGGGACCTGTGGGCCAGGACCGGCCCCCTGTATCATCAGTACCTGCCGGCGGGGAGGGCCCAGATGGACTACCACCTTATCATCCATGGGGTGGGCCAGGGCGTGAAAGACATGACACAACAGGACTTTACATCGCTCTGGCTCACCCTGACCGCCATCAAGGATGCCATCTGGGTCACAAGAAACCTGCTGGTGGGGAAGCAGGTCACGGTACCCCTGCAAGGGACAAAGGGACTGATAACAACCACGCTACAGGGGTACCGGACCTTGACAAGAGGCCAAGGGGGCCGGGGTCACACGGAGGAGGTCCCGGCCGCCACCGTACCTGGCCGCCCGTAGATGCACCCTCACCACTCTGGCTACGGGAACAGCGGGCCAGCAGGCCAGAGGAGGGGGATCTCCGCTATGCCCTTGAAACACAGGGGCTGTGACCGTCCTGGAGAGTTGGTGTGAATGGACTCTTTTGGTATGACTCACCCTCGATCCTGGACAAAGAAATGATTTTATTTCTTTGGATTGCGTCTACTCTTTTACATCGTTTTTACTGGACCGATTTTATTGCTTTTATCAACGCAGCGCCTGGACTCTCTCTTTTTTTGACATAACACACGCACACACAAAAGACTTTTGCAAAACATACACTTTTATTTCTTCCAAAAAAACCACGTTTTTAAAGGAAAATGTTATGCTTATTGTCTGTGTTTTATTGTCTTTTAAAGTGTGCTAAAATGTTTTAACATGTGTTTTCTGTTTTAGCCCCTTTAAGTCCAGTGTTTAGTTAAAATGGTGATTAGCCAACAAGTTTTAGGCCAGTTTTATTGTCTATGTTTTTAGTTTTTAGCCTTTATTTTATTGAACAGCCTTGTTTTTACTCCATTGTATGTTGTTTGTTTTTTAAAAAACACGTCTTTTATTCAAACACCATTGATTTGTACGTTCACAAAATAGCATTTTTTAAATTTATACTGTATTTTATTGCATTTATTTATTTATTCTGTAAGTTTTATATTCAAAAGAAAATATGTGAAACGACAAAAGATTAAGATGTGTTTTTGGGATGGAGATTTTATGTAAAATTGTTAAACGCTGTCAATAAATTTTTTTCGAAAAAAAAAAAAAATCTGTTCTTATCAGTATTATATTTGATCTGGTCACGCGGCTGGGACGGCGATCGCCTCTTGGAGGTTCACCCTGGTGCCTGCTTTTGTAGCGGCCACCACAACCTTTGGGAGGTACACCGGCTGAGCGTTTTCGTGAAGTCTTTTTAAGGTAAGGTTTTAAGTATTTATTGATTTGGCTGTTTTATTGGTGTGGTTTTATAGAGAGCTGTTGGTGCCTCCACCATGTCGGCTGCTCGTGCCGGCATGCGGAGGCACCACAGCGTGCGTTTTAATTTTAAAACTGTTAATGGAAAGCTCCTGGAGTTGTCCCGCTTGGACTTCTCCAGGAAGCTAATCCAAAAAGCCTTGAAATTTAAACCCGACGAACTGAACTGTATAGTGACTCTGCCCCTTAACAAGGGATTTGATGTTAGCTTTAAAGCTGCCTCCCACTTAAACGTTTTTTGGCAAAGATTTGACTCTGTAAAAGACCAGTTCTCCATGTTTACTGTGGAAAAACTTTCAGACAACACACTTAAAACTGTGATTGTCAGAATGTTTAATGAAACAGTGACTGGTGAAGACATTGTGTATGGCTGGGAAGATTTTGCACTGTTCGTGGACAGCCAGTTAAGGTGCTAGATGAGGATGGCATCTGGAATTGCTCCTGGCGGATTCCCATCAAACAATGGGAGGATGCCGGAGGATTCCAGGGCCTGAGACATCTGCCCTCCATGATTGTGCTGGGAGAGAACAGAGGCTACATTCATTACCAAGGCATGCCCAAACTTTGTAGAAAGTGCAACAAGTTTGGGCATTTAGCAGAAGCGTGCCAAGAAACAGTATGCGGGAAGTGTAAAGAAATTGGACATAGTTTTGAACAATGTACCAATGGCAGGCGGTGCAATCTCTGTGGTGATTCAAACCATCTCTATAGAGATTGCCCAAAAAGCTTTGCAAACAAACTGAAAAGTCAAAAAATGGCCGCCCCACCGACCACGCTGGTTTTAGAACAAAGAGAAGGGGCGGGGCCTGAGGTTTTGGCGGGAGCCGACATCTCCCAGCCAGCCTCAGAGCCCAACCAATGCCGAGAAGGTGGGGCGGCCCCAGGGGCGGAGTCACAGTCGGTAGAGGTGGGGAGAGAGGAGGTAAACGAACCAATAGGAATGGAAAAGGGAGAGGAAACGACCTCCTCTCTCCTCACCGTCTCTGAGGTGAGTGTTGCATCAAGTGATGCCTCACTCCCAAATGCTCAGGTGCAGAAAAGACCTGCAGACTCTCCTCTGTGTGATGCAGAGAAGAAACAAAGAGTGGTCAGTGGCTCAGATGGTTCAGAAATGGACAGTCTGAGCCATGAATGGCCACTCATGTCTCCAAATGAGGTCTCCTTTTTGCACATAAAACTAACTACATCGTCGCCTAAAGATCCACAAGAGCTTGTCTCTGTGGGCTCTGAGGCGATAGGCACTTCCTCTAATTCCTCCCCTGATTGCCATGGGGGAAAAGACGAGGAAATGCTACAGGACCACACGTGAGTTTTAAAAGATTTTATTGTCTTTTAATCTGCGTGATTGGTGAGTTTTACCTCTTTTAATTGTCGTTTTTATAACGGTTCATGTCTTTTATCCATATACTGCTCATGGCCCTCACAATCTCAACCATAAATGTTAGAAGTGTGAGGTCCACCACAAGAGCACAGAGCATCCTATCCTTTTTAAAAACTTTTAAGTCAGACATGTTTTTATTGCAAGAGTGTTCTCTGCCCTTTTTAAAAAACTATAGAAGAGGGGAAGAACTTTGGACCCCTGGACCCTCCATTTGGAGTGG